AGGGCGGAGATGTCGGAGGAGGTGACTGAGCAGTCGCGGAACACATTCAGCCGGCGACCTAGGTGGAAAGCTTCGAACGGGGCCCTCGCCGGTGGTCCCTCTCCACCAGAAGCTCGCGACATCGCCCACGGAAGTGAAAGCGGCGGCTGAAAACACAGATTCAGTGGATGTTGGATTCGGGGGTTTATTGTGAGAATTGGATTATGTTTAGGGGTCTTGCTGTAAATTTCATATTTTTAGTTATATTGCAATTTAACACATGGGTTAAATATGTGAATTTCTGAAAATTCTATAAAAGTATACTTTTATGTCTCTTAGATACATGAAATAATAAATGAGAATATTAAATAAAAATAAAATAAAATATTAAAATATAATTGAACATATTGCACATTATTGACTACCGGTTGCACTTTGTGTTAGTAAGATTGCACTTTAACATAACAAATACACGGAAAATGATATTTAAATTAATAAAATAAAATACTAAATATAAAAATAGTAAATATTAAATATATTTTTATTACACAAATAATTTGATAAATGTACAATAATTTTTATTAAAATACATGTTATTATTTTCTTTAAAAAAATATAATTAAAATGCATGTTAGTGTTCAGTTTCAATTTGGTTGGGACGAAAGTTTGACCCTTTCACATTGCACAGAAACAACAAAAAATGTGCACATTAATGATTATTGTGTTGCACTTTTGTGTTTGTGATATTGCACTTTAGCGTATGTATCGAACGAAATGAACCAAAATATATTATATTACTCAAATGATTTGATAAGTGTACAGTAATTTTAATTAACATACATATTATTATTTTTTAAAAAAAAAATGAAATGCATGTACAATTTAACTGGGACGAAAGTTTGGTCATTTCACACTGCACAAAAACGACACATACGTGCACATTAATGATTGTCATGTTGCACTTTTGCACTTTTGTGTCTATGTTATTGCACTTTAGCGTTTATATCGAACGAAAGGCACCGAAATATACTCTTTTTATACGGTTTATATTTGTCGGTTTATTGTTCATTGTTTTTTTTTTAAATTGGTTATTTCGATTGATTTTGGTCTCTTTTTTTTTAAATCAACTACTATACAAAAAAAAAAAAATTATATACATATATATATATATATATATTATAACTTTTGAAGCAAAAAAAAATATTAAATAAAAATATCAAAGCACTACACATAATTTTATAATATAAATTATAAATTATTCCATTTATTGAGATTATTGTACAATTATTTAGGTGGCTCATGCGGTATAATTGAAGAATATTATTATCTTTTATTTCTAGTTGTCATACGTATTGTCAGTGCACACTATGGTTATACAAAATTCACTTTAATAACTATCAGACTGCACAATATCGACAAGACTGAAATTTCAGTTCGAAATTTTACATTTCGATTCAATTATTTGTATTTATTCTTAAAAACACAATTAAAAACACAATAATTTAATGCCGACTTTGATTTTAAGAATTATGAAATGACTAAATAGACAAAAAAATATAAAATAATATTATTAATTCTTCTTCCCTCTATACATACATCTCTTTTATATCTTATATGAACGAGTTAGGCACATTGTGGCGTTGACACGTGTCCCTTTTCGCCCATTTGGCTGGTCGACACGTGTCCCATTTGTTGCACTTTATTACATTTCTGCCATTCTATTTGCAAGCCCTTCATCGTTCGTTTGTGCAGAGGTTTGCTTTTAAATTTACATAAATAACCCTTCTTTAATGCCCTTTTGGGGGTTATTCGGTCAATTGAAGATGTCATAATTGAAGTAGCTGTAAAGTAGCTGTAAAATGTTTGTACACTGCTTTAATTGCTGGCTTAACTTTTTTCTTCTTTCGGTGGAAATCCCGAAATCTCGCACACGCAAAGTGAGACTCATGCACGTTGTTTGTCAGTTTTTTTTTAACATGCCCATGCCCATGCCGTCTTCCGCTTTAAGTAGCCCAAAATCTTCTCCCATTTATTTTTCTCTGCTCTCGATGTTGCAGCGGCGAGTTTGAAGCACCACCAACAATCCCCGTACGGCGATTTTTCGCACACACACACTGCCTGCACACAATTGTCAAATTCAGCCCTCAAAACCTACTTTTATGAGCTTCTTAGGTTGCATCCCTTATTGGGTTCTTCCTTCCCATGAAGATGGGCCAAATCCTTCGACCCCAAAACGCCAAGTCGATCCTCGGAGGGCCAAATCCTCAACAAAGAACGAAGATTGACACATTGGTGCCATTCGAGTCTGTGAAGGAGGCGACGAGCTGCTTCGGCAAAATGGATTTCTGAAAACCAGTCTCGCACAGACCGTCCGAGCATGTGTCCGAGGTTATGTGGGTGCTTTATTTTTTTATGTTTTGTTCTGGTTTTTTTGGTGGTTGTTTCTGGAAAGGGCTTTGAAAAAAGGACATAATAATTTTAGTGTTGAATTTAGCATTTCTTTTATCGAATCGAAGGGCCTTTGGAGAGAAAAACCGCTGCTCGATTGTTCAGCCAAAACATTTGTAAAACTGCTTTAACATTAATCAATTACACGCGAATTAGATTATTGTTGGAATTTCTTATTAATCTACGTCGATTAGGTTTCTAGGTTTGATTTTGGGGGAAAATTTTTTTAAAGCGGATGAGTTTGTAGTATTTGAGTTTCGATATCAAACTGGATTTGTACGATTAAATCTAATTTTCGAGTCGGTTTGATTGGGTACTGAGCTTTTGAATGGATGTTTGTGTTACCACTTGAGGCGTTACTTTACCCACTAAAACATCACCGGTCTCTACCCAAGATCCCAACATCACAATTCTGTTTTTGTCTAAATTGTGAAGTAAGTGGGCTTCTAAATCTGGCTTGTTACATGAGTTTGAATCTCATATTTCTGTATGTGAAAAGAAGTATAAATATCTTCATACACCAAATGCTCACTAATGGGTACTGCTTTTGGGAAGAGTAGGTCTAATAATTGAACAGAGGCATTTCAAATATTTAATAAATAATAGTTAGAATAGTGAATAATAAATTAAAAAAAATATATTTTGTGGATCAAAATATTCGTAAAATAAATATTATGAACAGTTTTAAACCAATGATGTAAAGTAGTAAATGGAAAAAAATAGTATTTTTAATAAGAGCCAACAGCTGGAGCAGGAACAAGTCTGAGACCTCTTTTTTTGTCCTTTAGGGTCTAAAATATTTGAGTATTAAGCCAGAGATGGCCTAGGGACATATTTTGAGACATCATGCAATTACTTTGTAGTTGAATGAGTGATTTACCTTATGTCCTTTGCTTTGCAGAGGAACATGAGAAGCTTATTGATTCCTACTCTGCCTTAGATCAAAAACTGCAGCGCCCACTGTTTGAACATTCTGCGTTGGAGATGACCATTCAGGAGCTGAAGGTTTGTGTTCTATTTCAAAATTTGGGTAAACTCATCAGTTTCTTCCAAGTTCATCTTTGAGGTCTGTACGTTGCTTTTTAGACAAGCTTAAGGAAGCAAGAGCGTGATTATACTGTTGCACAGAAGGAGATCGTTGATCTCCAGAAAGAGGTAATATCCATTTTGTGTTTTTGTTAATTAATGCCATGATGCTGCTACGTAGCTCCCCGAGCAAGGAATTTGATATAATAATTTTCTTAGATTTTACATTTTTACATATACACATTTTATTGATTGTTTGGTATGTGCATGCTATGGTTAAAATTGTATTGTCACTTGCATTTATCTTCTTGTCAGGTGGCTGTTCTCTTAAAAGAATGTCGAGATGTTCGGTTGCGTTGCAGATCAGTTTCTCGCTATCACGATGATGAGATGGTTGGTGGTCCCACTGTACTGTCGCTTTCTTCATTCGGTTCTGAAGATATCATATCTGAACGGATGGTAAATGGTATTCTCATTCCATTCTATATAGACACTGCCAATTTTAGACGTCCAAAACTTGATGGGCATTGAGATGGTATTTTTGCAGTTAACATTTAAGGACATAAATGGATTACTTGAGCAGAATGTCCACCTGCGGAGTCTTCTCCGCAACCTTTCTGGCCAGATTGAGGAGAAAGAAGCAGAGTGGAAGGCAATGTCACGTTTTTTTTGTAGCTGTGTTTACCGTTTATTCTTTTCTTTTTGTTTTTTCTTCACGACTACTATATTGAGCTCATACTTTCCTGAAAATTTCCAGGATAAGCATGAGAGACAACTTCAGATGCTTAAGGATGAAACCACATCTAAAGTTCAAGCAGTGTTACAAAGAGCAGAGGAACAGTCCCAAATGATTGAGTTACTTCATAGCTCTGTGAGTCTTCCATTCGATGTGAAACTGGAATACGGTTTCCAAGCACTGTGATTGTATCTTTGATTTTGAGTATTGTTCTTACATGCATATTTGGTGCCAATGTACAAGAAGTTGTACGATGATGAACACAAACATCGTACGTCCTCCACTCGCACACAAGTTGCAGCTCCAGGTTCATCCCACTTTCATCTGTATTTTGTTTGATTACTTCCTTCATTGTACGTCGTATCCCTTGCTGTAAATTTTATAAAGCTTCATGCTGCTGTTTTCTTATGGAAGTGCCTTTGAATTTTGTTAAATGTATCAAAATCTATAACGATGTCTTTATTCTCCCTTGTAGTGAGAAACTGATTTGACTAACAAGAAAATGGGAAGTTAGGACCGAAAAAAACATCACACCAACACCTCATCCATCCCAATTTCTCTAATCGGCCCATGAAAAATCAAAACACAACCTGCTAGAGAAATCTATTTTTAGAAAAACCCTTGCTCATATGTTTTGTTAAGCTATTTGTAGAATCTCCGAAAACTGATTTACTTTTCAACTCCTTTGGTTGTGTAATGTAGTTTGCTCATAAGAAGTGTATTCAGAGATAGTGCAACAAAAAAGGCGATATCACATGTGAAATCTGCAATAAGGTCACAATCTTGTGTTTGCCTTTACCCTTTTGAACAGAACACCAGTAAAGAAAAGTTGTATTAGATACAATTTGTATTCCCTTTATAGCTATAATTCTTGTTCTCTCTTGTAAACAGGTTTCCAACATACGCTATAATAAAAGCTACAACAACTTAGAACAATTTTTTGTTGTACTTTTGCACGGGGTGTTAGACCATCGTGCATGCACGGCGTCACCAGATCTAGTACATATTAATAAGCGGGAGTTGAGGTGCCTTATTAGATGCCACGTGTACACTTTACCACTCCTACCTATGCCTTGTTTTTTTGCTTGGGCCTTTATTGGGCCTATTTGTTTTCCTTGTAAATTTATATATGCAGTCTCACGTTTTTAGATATCTTTCCCCCTTGTAGATGTTCTAGATTTTGTGCTTTTTTTATCTGATCGACTCAGTTTCAACAGAGCTGGTGTTGGTCATAATTGCATCCAAACTGCACAAGATAATGATATTGGATTCTGAGTATCCACAATGTTTTTGGTTTTATCACAAAAAATTATATGCCACCTAAAAAATAGATTTTGTCTAAATAAATGTATTCTCCAATGCAAACAAAAGTACACTGATTCTTACTGATGTGACAGCCTGGAAAAGAGACCCGATGTACACTTAAGTCTATTTTAGACCCAAGTAGAGACACATGTTGGAATACAAGTTCAAGCTCGAGCCTGCATAGTGAAGTCCTGCATAGCATTTTGTTCTGTTTTAATAAAAGTCGTGCTAGCGTTTTTTCTGTTCTGTTAAAACGGTGTCGTTTCATTTTATTTTTGTTTGGGTTGTGATAGTAAGCAAAACGATGTCGTTGTACTTGCATGAGCTTATTAAATAGCTCGTCTTCTTCTTTTTTCATGCAATGAAAATAAGTTGGCAACAATGGCAGCTCACAAAATATCGTCGAAATTCTCTTGAGATTTTACATGGTACCAGAGCAGGCGAGCCTGGTAACCTCGATTCAAGCTTAGATTGAGCTTCGCACAACACATATCGATCCTCTGATCGCGATTAATCCGTTTCAAAAGCGCAACAATTGCAGCGATGGCGAACTCCAATCAGGATCCATTTTCTCTTCATGGATCCGATAATCCAGGTATAGTTCTCGTTACACATCCTTTGACTGGCAGAAATTTTACAGCATGGAAACGATCTATGGTTATTGCATTAGGAGCAAAAACAAAATTAGGATTTGTTACTGGTGAGGTCGCTAAACCAGATGAAGGTAGTGATGAATATAAGAATTGGAAAAAGGTCGATTGGATGGTGCTGTCATGGATTTTGAATGCTTTGTCAAAAGATATAGCTGAATCATTCCTCCATGCTGAGACCTCGAAGGAGCTGTGGGAGGACATAGGAGAACATTTTGGGGAGAATAATGGACCTCTAAGGTATAAGGTGCAGAGAGAGATCAACTCCTTGAGTCAAGGTAACAGTACTGTGATGGAATATTTCAATAAGCTCAAAAAATTGTGGGACGAGTATGCTTGTATAGTTCCATTGCAAGTATGCAACTGTGAGAAAGGAAAGCTTGTTGCTCAGCAGGACTCAGAATCAAGGTTAATCCAATTTCTAATGGGATTAAATGACATCTATGACGGTGTGAAAAACCAGATTCTTCTAATTGATCCCTTACCCACAGTTAACAAGGCATACTCCATGGTGCTCACAGCTGAAAGACAGAGAAGAGTACAAAATGAGTACAGTGGAAGACTTGAAAATATGGCTATGGTAGCCAAAACAAGCTATGGGAGAGGAACACCTTTCAATCAGGGAAGAGGTGGTTATGAAGGAAAAGGCTGGGATTCAGGTGGAAGAGGGAGAGGCTTTCATAGAATGACAAAGGAAGAAAAGGCAAGACTGATTTGTGAAAAATGTGGCATGAGAGGTCATAACACAAGCACATGCTTTAAGATCCATGGGATACCTGAGTGGTACAAAGAATTTAAGGGGCAGCAAACCAAGAACTATGCTAATGCAGCTGAGGTGTGTGACTATGGTCCTCAACAGAAGATGAGTGGAGAAAGCAAGGAAGGGACACACACATCAGATTTTAGTTCAATGATGCAGCAGCTGCAGGAATTGACAAAGTACATCAAAGGTAAAGAAGAGCAGGAGAAAAGAGTTGATTATGCACAATTTGTCAGTTTTGAGAGCAAAGTGGAAAGTAAGGATATGTACTATGCCTTATCAGCACTAGGACAAGGATTATCAGAGGAGTGGATAATTGATACAGGTGCCAGCAAGCACATCTGCAAAGATGAAAGCTGCATGACAAATGTGGAAACACTTAAGGATCCTGTTGTTATTTGCTTGCCAGATGGATCTTTGAAAACATTAAGATACAAGGGTGATGTTGTCCTTGATGAAAAGGTCACTTTGTTTGAAGTACTCCTTGTGCCATCATTCAAATATAACCTGCTCTCAGTAATGCAACTATGTGATACAAATGGACTGAGATGGATCTTCTCAGGCTCTGGTTGTTACTTAGAAAACAAGAAGACACATGAGATATATGCTTGTAGAAATTTGGTGGGGAATCTGTATGTATATGAAAGAAAGAAGGCTGCAGAACTAAAGCAGGTCAAATGCAATTTATCCTTCATAGATTGGCACAGAAGTTTAGGCCATGCCTCTTTTTCCACTCTGAAACATCTGAGATTTCTTAAAGGGGACTGCAATGAGAGAAATGAAAAATTATTGCACTCACGTGATATCTGTTATAAAGCAAAACAGCATATGGTACCTTTTCCAAAAAGCAACCCTCAGTCTGTTGAGGCCTTTGAATTGATACACCTAGACATTTGGGGCCCTTGCAAAGAAGAATCATTGACAGACACTCCTTACTTTCTCACAGTGGTGGATGACTACTCAAAAGGAACTTGGGTCTTCTTGATGAAACAGAAGTCTCAGACTAGGAAATTTGTGAGAGAATTCATAGCCATGGCTGAGACACAGTTCAAAGGGCAGGTGAGAAGAATTAGGTCAGATAATGGGAAAGAATTCATGGATGGGGAACTGCATTCATTCTTCAAAACAAAAGGAATCATACATGAGACAAGCTGTGCATACGCACCACAACAAAATGGTGTAGTTAAAAGGAAGCATAGGCACCTCTTGGAAGTAGGGAGATCACTTTTGTTTCAAGCATCTCTACCACTCAAATTCTGGCCATTTGCAATCTTGACAGCTTCATATATTATAAATAGAGTACCAACCTCAGTGCTTAATTGGGAGACTCCTTATGAAAGGCTTTATCACAAACAGCATGAGTATGACAGAATGAGGCCTTTTGGTTGTTTGGCCTATGCAGCAAATGTGCATCCTTCAAAGACAAAGTTTGACCACAGAGGGATCAAATGTATTCTCTTGGGCTACATGACAGGCAAAAAGGGATATCACTTATATGATCTTGAAACTGACAAACTCATGACAGCAAGGGATGTGATATTTCTTGAAGACAACTTTCCATTCTCAACACAATCCCAGATAGAGGTTAGAACATTACCACAAGCAGTGGAGGAGTTTGCAGATTCTGATGGAGATATATTGACTGAGGAAATGGCTACTCCTCAAGATAATGATGGGGATGCTGGGTCAAAAAGAAGCAACAGAGTTAAGAGACCACCTGCTTGGCAAAGAGATTATATTTGCAATGTCATTCCAGATGATCATAAGTTCATGGGAAACATTACAGTTGAGAAAGAACTTGTGTACTATGGGCAAGCAAAATCACACCCAGCTTGGGTCACAGCCATGGAACAAGAATTACAAGCTTTAGAGCATAATGGCACATGGGAACTCACTGAACTTCCAAAGTGAAAGAAAGCCACTGGCTCTAAGTGGGTTTACAAGATCAAGAGACACAGTGATGGATCAGTGGAGAGATTTAAGGCCCAGTTGGTTGCCAAAGGTTACAATCAGCAAGAAGGTATAGATTTCTTTGATATCTTCTCTCCTGTGGCAAAATTAGTTACAGTCAGGATGTTCATAGCCATTGCAACAATGAACAAGTGGAGTTGACAACAAATAGATGTGAATAATGCCTTTCTTCATGGCAATCTCACTGAAGAGGTGTACATGACTCCACCTCAAGGCTACACAAAGGCTAAATCAGGACAAGTGTGCAAGCTTAAGAAAAGTTTATATGGTCTAAAGCAGGCCTCAAGGGAGTGGAACAAAGAACTGACTCAGAAACTATCCAAGTTTGGAATGAAGCAGTCAGCACATGATCACTGTTTCTTTAGCATGCATGAAGAAGGGAGTTTTATGGCTATACTGGTTTATGTTGATGATGTCCTACTCACCAGCAATAATGAAGGATTAGTGGTCAAGTTAAAGCAATTCCTTCACACAGAATTCACCATAAAAGATCTTGGTGCAGCAAGATATTTCTTAGGTGTTGAGGTTACAAGGAGCTCATTGGGTACTACTCTATGCCAAAGGAAGTACATTTTGGATATGCTAGGGGACATGAATATGTTGGAATGTTCAGCTGCCACCACACCTTTGCCTTGTGGGATCAAACTACAAGCAGAAGATGGAGATATCCTCCCACAGCCAGAACTATTTAGGAGGATCATTGGGAGACTCCTATATCTGAATTTAACAAGGCCAGATGTCACCTATGCTGTACAACAGCTTAGCCAGTTTGTTAATGCACCTCGCACTTCTCATTTGCAGGCAGCCATGCATATATTGCGGTATCTCAAAGGCACGGTTTCTCATGGATTGTTTTTTCCTCAAGATGGTTCTTTCACTCTCTCAGCCTACTGTGATGCAGATTGAGCATCGTGCAAAGATACCAGGCGCTCTATCACAGGTTATTGTGTGTTTCTAGGAGGATGTTTGATTTCTTGGAAGTCAAAAAAGCAACAGACCGTGTCTCGTTCATCCGCTGAAGCAGAATATAGGGCTATGAGCACCACAGTTTCTGAGCTCCTATGGATCACTTATATTCTGCATGATTTCTCTATTCAAGTCCCATATCCCATTCCATTATGGCGTGACAACAAGGCTGCCATCCACATTGCGGCTAACCCCGTGTTTCATGAACGCACGAAACATCTTGAAATTGATTGCCACTTCATTAGGGACAAGTACAAATCTGGATTTGTTATTCCCATGCATCTTGCTTCTCGTGCGCAGCTTGCGGACATCTTCACGAAGATTATTCCTGGCCCTCAGGCTCGTTCTCTTTTGTCCAAGATGAGCTTGTTTCAACCGTAGCTCATCTTGAGGGGGGCTGTTGGAATACAAGTTCAAGCTGGAGCCTGCATAGTGAAGTCCTGCATAGCATTTTGTTCTGTTTTAATAAAAGTCGTGCTAGCGTTTTTTTTTTTTTTTTTTTTTNNNNTTTTTTTTGTTCTGTTAAAACGGTGCCGTTTCATTTTATTTTTGTTTGGGTTGTGATAGTAAGCAAAACGATGTCGTTGTAGTTGCATGAGCTTATTAAATAGCTCGTCTTCTTCTTTTTTCATGCAATGAAAATATGTTGGCAACAATGGCAGCTCACAAAATATCTTCGAAATTCTCTTGAGATTTTACAACACAGTCTCTTTGTATTGGAATGAATTTTATCAAGTTTACATAGTTTTATTCATGTCATCCAAGACTTGGGTTATTTTACATGTCACATATGTAAGACTGGAACCAATGCATTGTACATGCTTTAACAACTGATGCAGCAAAAAATATCTTTATTTCATTCAGTTACAAGATTTCAAAATGGATGTCTTTAGTCTCCTTAGATTATGTAAACTTTTCTGATATATCACCAAACAGAAAAAGGTAAAATTCAATTATCAGCTTCAATTGCATCTTTGTAAGTTGAAAAAAAACATAGCAGATATTCATGCCAGAAGCTACAATTACTAGGTTTGGCTAGTTTGGCCAAAACCCATGTACTAAATTTCTACAGCAGAATACAGAGCTCATACACAATGTCATAGAAACTAACAGCATCACCAACCAATGCAAACCGGTTCGCGTAGTTCTCCTCCGCATTCTAAATGAGCTCGTTTTCTTCACGAGTCAGCAACCAGCGTATGAATCCAAGATAGCTAACAATGGATATACGGAATCAAACCACCCAAAAAATTCATTTCCAAATACAATTTCTAAGCATAAACAGCAAACCATAACCATCCAAGAACACAAATGCCCGATAACCGTGATTCCAGTAGACAAAGGCATTCAAACAGTTACGAACTTACGATCCTAATCACCAAGCTAATGAAAAAAAAAACCCACAATACACAGGCTAATCGATAACCTATCTGAAGAAAACTGCTAAAATTACATTTTTTTTTTTTGTTTGTTTAAACAAAGAGATGAGTGGAATCACTCGGCCCGTTTCCCATTGTTTACCTTACCTACCTCAACAGTTTGCGAGCCCGTCAACCTAGCTAGGGCCACGAACGACATTCCCCCAACAACATTATTCAAGCACCTCAACACCAGAACCGATGTCTTAAAGACGACAGGCGGCAGTCCCTTAGCCAGCAAATACTCGATCCCATTCATTCCCTGGTACCTCAAATTGCTACTCAAACCCAATTGCAATGCCCATGTGGCGGCATTTAGGACAGTCGGTGGGGGCTTGTTCGGCGGCTCGAAACCCGGGTCGACCCGCCTCCTCGCCGCAATCAGCCCATTGGAAATGGCGGTCCCCAAAAGCCCAGCTGCAAGCCCGACCGCCCCAAAAACGAGGCCCTTGTAGACGAAAGTGCCAAGCCGGGCTGGGAAGCTGTACGGGCCGGGCTCGAACATGTGGCTTGGGGGAGAGCCCGAGAAGATGGATGGGAGGGTTTGGGCCGGGCCTGATGGGGTTGGGGCCAGGATGTACATGAGGGCGAAGTTGAGGATGGAGCCCACGACAAGGGTCGAGAAGACGAAGTCGAGCTCGTCGAGCCCGAAGTTGGGCCGGGAAGCCATGTCGCCGAGCACGCAGGCGCTGACCCCGACTAATTCCTCCATCAGGACCTTGAACGGGAACTGTGGGTCCGCGCGGACCCTCAAACGCCACCCGCTCACGAGAGGCCCGAAAATTCCGAAACCGGGGGCCTGGGGCTCCGGTTCATCGTCGCCCGAGCGGTGGCCTCCTCCGCCGGGACCACCGTTGCCGCCGTTTCTTCCTCCGTTTCCTCCGTCCACCGGACCGGCACCGGTTGAGCTGCCGGCAGCGAATTTGACATTGAACTTGGGGAAAGAAACTGAGTTTGAGATGTGCAATTTGGGGCTGAAATTGGTTGGGTGGGGATATGGATAGGGTATGGGAAGCAAAGAGAGGCAACACTGAGCCATGGTAGCCAATTTTGGATGAGGACTTGCAAAAAATCTAATCTAACAAAAGTTGAACTTCAACAAATGTATCAAGATTCAAGAAGGCATGAACTAAGAGAATCAAAACATCTGCAAGAAAAATCTGTGAATGCGCATAAAGAAAATAAAAAGGCTAGATTATCAAGAAATAATAAGTTAAAATCTTTTTTTTTTTTTTAATTTTGTTTTCAAAGCTGATTAACACACAAGAAACCCAATTAAAGTGACCTGGAGAAAGTGGAAAAAGAACATAAAAATTGCATCTTTTTTCTCTGAACTGCAGATATTGTAATACTATATCCGCGATTTGAATTGAAGATATACAGAAGAACAGAGTAAAAACAATCAGACACAGGAAATCTAGAGTAGCAATATATCGGAAAAGAAAAGATTGAAAACGACAAAGGAAATCCGGAGTTCTTTTTAGATAAGACAAATGCTTCCTTATTCCTTGTCTGATTTTTCGGTTCGGATATTACTTTCTTTTGCTCTCATATTATTTTGCGAAACTAGACCGAACATCTTTCTCTCCTTACTGCTCTGAACAGACTCACCCCTAGAAACTAGACAGGTTGCACGCCGCTTCACCGATTTGCACCACCTCCACTGTCGCATGTCCAACATCCACGCCTCATAGCTATTGTTTAGCTGAGGCCCGAGCCACCTTCGGTTAAACTAAACATTGACGGATCATTTGACAGATTTACCGGAGCCCCCGGACGTGGGGGCCTGATTAGGGATCATAGCGGTGCGCTTATCACCGCTTCCATGTCCCTCTTCGAGCCTCCTCGAGCTATGACACGGAGGTTCAGTCGCTTCAGATCGGTTTTCATATTGCTGCCCCGATCTCCTCTCACATTTGGATAGTGTTGGACGTTGCTGTTGTCATCATACTCTTGACCTCTTGCCAACAGGGCGCGTGGCAGGTTCAGCATCCGCTCATGCGTATTAGAAGCCACACTTTGGTCGATTTATTATCAGATCTCGCACATCTTCCGCGAGGGGAACCGACAAGCGGACTTCTTTGATTGCATCGGGACCTCTACCCCCAGAGGCGCATTCTCCATCTTAACAATGTTCCTCTCCGCCTCCATACCTTTATACGGATGGACAAGATGGGCTATCCATCTTTCAGATTTGGGTAGTCGCCCCATTTTTTTGGTACTTTTGCTCTCTCGTGGTGCTGACTCTTCGTGTGGACTCTTCTCAGATTACGCTGTGATATTTTTGTGTTATTTGCTGTTGTTGTCTCTTTTTCCTTGATTGTTTTCGTTTGTTTGGTTTGTTGTACCTTGGACATTGGACTTGTAGACTTGTGGCTATTCAGTACATTTATGGCTTTTTTATAAAAGGTTGGGGCCCGTCCTAAACCCCCCACCCTTCCCAGTTGTTGTTTCTAAAAAAATGACAAACGATTTAATTTACTCCGTAAAAAATAAATGGGGACCTCGGACCAGAGTTACTGTTGATGTCGAGTCACTTGCTTCAGCACAAAATGTGAATCACTAAACACCGTCCATTTCTTAATACCTACCGCCTCATGTATTGTCCTCCTCACAATTTTATCACTTTCAAAAAATTTCAAAATATCTCCCCAACTTTTCCTGTCGGATTCTCACAAATAAAAAATAATTAAAAAAAATAACAAATCGACCCACGACCGATGAAAAGGTCTAATGATTCCTCCGGTATTTTTTTTTCGATTAGTAAATTATTTTTAATGTTTTTGAAGTTTCTAGTGGAATTCCGGCCGGTGATACTGACTGATCATAGGCGCGGTCAGTTTTCAGAGTCGGTCGGCCGCCAGACTGTGCGGCTTCTGCGGCCGACCACCAACGAGTTTGATTTTTTTATAATTTAAATATGTTTATATGTTTTAAAAGAGAATTGAAATAATCTTTTGATTTAAGTTAATATAGACAAATTTTTGGTTTAGTAGTTATTAATAATATTTTACTTATAAATTGTATAATTTTGGTTTAGTATTATTCTAATATAAGTTCAAAAAAATATATAATTTCATTTATTAATAAGTTTCTATAATCAAATAATCAAAAAGTGGAATTGTATTAATTAAGTGGTTATGAATAATTATTATATTGATTTTA